TGAAGATTAGCCTTGAACCATTATAAACTTGTTTTAACTGCCCGAGAGGTAGAGCGTTGAAATAGAAATGAATTAAATAATAAATATTAAAATAAAACAAACTTAAGACTACAACATTGGTCTTTTGATTTTTTACATTTCAAATAACAAAACTTCAACAAAAGATCAGAAAAAATATGGAATAGCAACTGATTTTAAGACACTCGCGGAGGTAAATAGATTGGTGGTTAAGATCGGTTTCATATGTAAATATCGGCCGATCACCATCACCCTAAATTAAGGAAATCGGGGCCGATCGATCGGCCGGCCGATTTATCGGTGCACCCCTAATAACGACTACTTAAAGCTTTACTTCAGAATTATCACTTTATATTTAAATTGATCACCTTGGGCATCTAAAGGCTGTTTTATAACAGACTGAGTTTTAAAGTTCAATTGGATAAAACAAAGAAGCTGTTGCTCTTCGAATGATCCTCTCTACTTGTGAATGATGATAAATGTTCACCCCGAGAGAAGATCCTTCCTGCCTACGGCTATCAAAATCTACAACTCATTGAAAAAAAAGTTGATTGATTAAAATCACATTTAATTTCCCTTAGGAATAATTAAAGTATTTTTGAATTGAATAGAGAATTAGGGGACCTTTTGAAAAGCATCATCTTACACTTTTCATTCTTCATTTTAAAGCCGTCAGTTGTTACTACAACCTGGTGTTTTGATAGGAATAATACATTCACTGACTGGCAGAAAAAAATGGATTTTTGAGTTTCTGGCAAGACAGTCAGATATTTGCATCTCTGTCTTAAATCAACATATAACCATTATTGTTGACATCTTGCTATTAGCATAAGCTGTAGAGTTTGAATTAGTTAAAATATATTTGTTTTGTTTTTTTAAGTCAGAAGCATTTTGCATGCCTCTAGAAGTGTTGTCTACACTGCAAAAAATGGAAATCTAAATAAGTAATTTTTGCTCAAATTAAGTGCATTTTTTCTTGAATTGAAGAGGTAAGTGAGACACTTTGCCAATGGAACAAGAAAATTTACATTTAAAATAAGAAAAAAACTATTGCTTTGTCTTATTTCAAGTGTATATTATCTAATTTTCTTATTTTAGGAGTACAAATACTCATTCCATTGGCAGATCATCTTATTTACCTTCTCAAATTAAGGGTAAATACACTTAATTTAAGACATTTTTTACTTATTTCTAGATGTTTTTTTGCAGTGTATATTATTTGGATCTTTCCTTTGAGGAAAAAACAGGATGTAGAAAATGGAAAACGAAAACTAAGTAGAAAAGCATATTTTATAAAGATCTGTATAAAAATGTTTGTAATATGTGTGCAGGTGGCTAGCAGCCGGGCAGGAAAAGCCTTCACAGCCTGCCCTGACAGCGATGAAAGTGAAACCTCCAAATCAGTGGACATGTTAAACAAGCAGATGATTGAGTGGGCGATGACAGGGTTCCAGCCCACTGGACCTAAGGGCTTAGAACCACCAGAGGGTAAGAAGGCATCACCTTTAGCCACATGTTGGGAGAGCAGAACTCATTCAGATTCATTTCTATCATTTTCCCCCTGTGATAAATTTGTGTTGAACCTCACCCCCCCTGCTAGAGGAGCGTAACTGCGAGGTTTACCCTGAGATGTGGGTGGAGCCCGAAGCAGCAGCCTATACACCCCCCCCAGCCAAAAAGCCTCGCAAAAGCACAGCTGAAAAACCTAAAGTCAAGGACATCATTGATGAGAGAACAAGAGGTAAGGGACCCAATCTATTACTGTATTCAAGATCCATGAACTCTTTATTCTGTAATTGTTCCCAGAAGCAGCATATTGAACAGATGTTCATTATTTTAGAAGGGTAACAGGAAACAAGGCCAGGCTGTTGCTGATTGCTGCGTATCACAGTGTCGCCTACAATTAAAACAAAACTACATTCAGCGTTTTAAACGATAGGAAGCTGCTGTTTGTTTCCACAGGAGCCATATTGACCTAGTTAAACAATTAAAATGTACACACATTAAAATGAAACATGGGCGCCATGTACTGTCTTGTCAGGCGTGATCTACTTTTCAGGCTTGTACTGTTCTAGTTGTGCGAGCGGATATAGCCACGTTTGCTTGATTCCTCAGTGGCTGTCCACTAGCTGTCTGTCTGCTTTTGAATATTTATTTATGTACAGTGAGGAAAGTAAGTGTTTGAACATCCTGCTATTTTGCAAGTTCTCCCACTTAGAACTCATGGAGGGGTCTGAAATTATCATCATAGTCCACTGTGAGAGACATAATCTAAATAAAAAGTCTAGGAATGACAATGTATTATTTTTTTAGTATTTATTGGTAGGATGCACCTGCAAATTAGTATTTGATTACCTAAGAAAATCAGCGTTAATATTTGGTACAGTAACCTTTGTTTACAATTACAGAGGCCCAACATTTACTGTAGGTTTTTACCAGGTTTGCACAGACTGCAGGAGGGACTTTGGCCCACTCCTCCACAAAGATACTTATCTTCCCCTCTCTCTCTTTCTCCATAGGGGAGTGGTGGTCTAGTGGTTAGGGCATAGGGCTTTGAATCCTG